CAATCTGACGACGAACAATGGTACCACCACTAACGACAAAACAAGACGACCACTTTTTAAGATCCCCACCCAGAATGCGAGGTTCGCGAATGTAAAATGCGTGAATGAAAATCAATCGCTTCTGAACGTGAACCCCTTTATCATCAAAAAGGTCCTTGATGGTCAAGTGGACGGCAACTTTGATTTTGTAAAAAAATTGCGAGATAGAAGCCTCCTTGTAAAAATACAATTCAACTCCCAGATTAAGGATTTACTTAAGCTGACATAAATTCATGATCTTCAAGGCGTTCCATTATCATCCATAGCCCCTTCCTGCTCACAGTGTCAAACGCTTTTGTCAGGTCCACAAACGTCAAGTACAGCCCTTTGTTCTGCTCCTGGCATTTCTCTTGGAGCTGCCTCAGGACAAACACCATGTCTGTGGTGCCCCTGTTGGTCCTGAATCCACATTGGGTTTCTGGGAGGTGGTCTTCAGCGATGGTGGGTACCAATCTGTTCAGAAGCTCTCGGGCGAGGATTTTTCCCGCGATAGAGAGCAGTGTTATCCCCTGGTAGTTGGAGCAGTCCGACTTTTCTCCTTTGTTCTTGTACAAAGTGATGATGACTGCATCACGGTCTCTTGGAAGCTTGCTCTGCTCCCAACAACAGACAAGGAGTTCGTGGAGCTTGCTGTGTAGTGTCGGTCCACCATCTTTCCAGATCTCTGGTGGTATCCTATCAACTCCTGCTGCCTTGCCACTCTTCAGCTGCTCTATGGCTTTTGAAACTTCTTCCATAGATGGTAGTTCATCCAGTTCCACTATGACTGGCTTCTGAGGAATGCGGAGAACTGCTGAGTCCTGGACGACGCGGTCAGCGCTGAAGAGGGCCTGAAAGTGCTCGGACCAACAGTTCAGGATGGAAGTCTTGTCTGTGAAGAGCGCCTGTCCGTCTGCACTGCGCAAAGGACTCTGGACGTGGTGAGTAGGACCATATACTGCCTTCAAGGCTTCATAGAAGCTTCTGTAGTCACCAGTGTCTGCGCAAAGCTGGGTTTTCTCTGCGAGGTTAGTCCCCCACATGTTCTGGATCTCTCGAAGCTTGCGCTGGAGGTTGCTGCAAATGAGAAGGAAGGCAGCTTTCTTCACAGGACATGACGGCTGAGCCAGGTGGGCCTGATGGGATGACCTCTTTTTTGTCAGCAGTTCCTGGATCTCTTGGTTGTTCTCATCGAACCAGTCTTTGTTCCTCTTGGTGGTAAACCCCAGAACTTCGCATGTTTGCAGGATGGCAGTCTTCAGTTGATCCCAGAGTGTTTCAGGTGAGGGGTCTTCTGGGCAGTGGTCGATCTCAAGCTTGGACTGTAGGCCTGCCTGAAAGTCAGCTTTCACTTCAGCTGACTGAAGCTTCTTGAGATCGAACTTTTTAGTGGGGGGCCCTCCCTTCCTTGGTTTGGGTGTGAGGTGCATCCTGAGTTGGCAACGCACTAGTCGATGGTCCGTGCGACATTCTGCACTGGGCATCACTCTGGTGTGAAGGACATCCTTGAGGTCTTTTTGGCGCACTAGGATGTAATCTATGAGGTGCCAATGTTTGGACCAAGGATGCATCCAGGTTGTTTTTAATCTGTCCTTTTGCTGGAAGATGGTGTTGGTGATGACCAGTTGTTGCTCAGTGCAAAGCTCCAACAGCAAGCACCCATTGTCATTGCAGTTTCCAATGCCGTGTCTGCCAAGAACTCCTTTCCAGGCATCTACATCTTGACCCACTCTGGCGTTGAAATCACCAAGGATTATTACCTTGTCATCTGCAGGGATGCTTTGGAGATGGCCTCGGAGCTCCGAGTAGAACCTGTCTTTTTCTGCAGATTCAGATTGGAGAGATTGGAGCATACACAGTGAAGAGCGTGGCATACTGTTCGTTCTTCAGAGGGAGGCGCATGGACATGATGCGGTCGGAGTGACCGGTTGGCAGGTTTTCCAGCTTGGAGACGATGGAGGTCCTGATCATGAAGCTAACTCCTGAGAGGCGCCTTTCTGTTGCAGGTTTCCCTGACCAGAAGAGGGTGTAACCGGCGCCATGCTCCTGAAGGCTGCCTACACCTGGGAATCGGACCTCACTAAGGGCAGCAATGTCGACATCCAACCTAGACAGTTCGTGTGCTATCAGAGCAGAGCGACGTTCTGGTCGGTTGCTGTCAACTGCGTCGAGCATGGTCCTGACATTTCAACGGGCTATTTTCAGTGCTTTTGCACCCTTGGAGGTGGGAGGTGGGTGCGTACCTTCCTTGCTTTGGTAACATATATATACATATTTATATACATATATCTATATACATATATTTATATACATATATATATATATATATATATATATATATATATATATATATATACTCATATTTATATATATACCCATACATGTGTGTGTGTGTATCTATAGATATAAATACATATACAAATGATATGCACTTTATAAACTCATACCTTTTCAACATGTGATACACTGATATTGAACTTGC